TAAGACTTTGGTAGTAAATAGATTTCGTATTTATTTAGCATTATATTTTATTGAAACGCTCCAAGTGCCTGTGGCCGTACGCTAGCTGCTGCACACTAACACATAAATATATACATGTTTATTTACCTTTTTTATTTTATTGAGACGTTCCAAGTGCCTGTGGGGCAGACAGAGAAAGTGTGGTTTTAATGTGTGCGCGTTGTTTTTAACAGCGTAATGTTTTTTAAAGCCACTTTCACTAATTCTATCATTTGCTTTCCTTGCAGATTTCTGATGGTGTTCATGTGTCTCATGTGTAGCGTCTTCTCCACAATGAAAGACTACATAGACGTAGCGAGCGACATATTATTTCACATGGTGAGTATCATGTTTACGGTGGCTGCTTTCACCATCTTTAATTCCCAGCTCGTATAAAGGTGGTGAACAACAGTAGAGGGCGTCTATAGGCGGCAGGCCTGAATAAGCATCGAACAGAAATTAATTAAAAATACTCATACTGTGACGGCGCTTACACAACATACACTTTATTCATGTTAAATAACTACAGATTCATGCTCTATGCTCCGCTCGAAACGTTTGCCAGCTCTATGATGCGAATTTCTGCAAAGTATTCTGAACACATTGCAAACACAAAAATGACCAACCGGTTACCGTGGCTACGCCACTTGACGGAATGTCACAACTACACGACAAGACCAATTTTACCTCTAATGCTTTCTAGACGTCCACGAGGCATCTAACTTGTATGCATAATGCAAATTATTGCACTCTAGTGTAGTAGTCGGCGCGAAAAAAATTCAAAAAAGGCTTTTTCTAGAGAAAAAAATAGTGCAATTTGCGGAGGCTTACTGTTGTATGCCTCATAAAGGGAGGGTGTTGCTATCCCCCGGGCGTGGAGGGAGGTCACGTGATAACGTTGACGATGACGTTCAAAACGTTAAACCTAACGGTAACTCTCACTCCAACACCGACAACACTAATCCTCACACTAAATATATATGTCTCGCCGCGCTATATATAGGCATTGTGATTCACAAAAATTAATCTATGGTGTGGGGACAGATATCATGATGCAAAAACCTTAACCCTAACCCTAATTCATATCCCTAACCCTAACCCTAACCCTAATCCTAACCCTAACCCTAATACTAACCCTAACCCTAACCCTAATACTAACCCTAACCCTAATCCTAACCCTAACCCTAACCCTAACCCTGACCCTAACCCTAATCCTAACACTATCCCAACACTAGTGCTGCCACGTTGCGGTCACCTCCCTCCACGCCCGGGGGATAGCATTACCCATAAAGGGTGGTTTGTCTGTATTGTGGTCTACCGCTACATGGACCATTGTCAATGGTTGTTGCAACGCTTGTTGCCCGTAGATAGACGATTTAATGTGATTACAAATGCATTACAATTATTAATTTCTCTGCTGCCTTGCTTGCTCATAGATTTGTATAATATGGCTGAAAAGCAATATGTACGGTTTACATGGCAAGACGTTGGCTGGTCAAGCGAAATTACCAGAAACTGAATTAACGAAACCCTCTTTGTATTCATAAGTTGTAGTTCAGTCAATTGTAGTAGTTCAGATATGAATTCAACTGCAATCTTCAATCTTCGCGTAATCTCCTTAGATATTTATCACGAGACTATAATCTATATATATAAAGTTGTTCAGCCGAATTAGTTCGTACTCGCATAACTAGAGAACTCCGCAGCCTAGAGGAAAACTAAAGATATTTTCAGAATCAGCATGTCTGGGAAATTTAAAAAAGTTAAAAAATTAAAAATTCATAAAAATTCTATTCATCAATAGATGGCGGTGCGTACAGATTAACATCACGTACGTGTGAATCTATTTGTATACCCTTAACGGCGCAGTGGCCTAATCGCTAGACCATCCGTCTCCTACACGGGGATTCCGGGTTCGACTCCCAGCTGGGGAACTTATTTTTCTTTCATTTTTTTAGCGGTCACCAACTGAGTAACGCCACTGATTTCCCTGGGCAACGCCGGGTATCCCGCTAGTTCCTATATATAAGTCTTAGAGATAATAAGTCCTAAAAACTACTACAGCTTATCTTGTGAATCAACAAGCTCTCTCGTTCGCAGGTTGCGCTTTACAAACACACAGCAATATTGGCGGCAATGTTCTTGAAATGAGGGCTGTCCAAGACTAGCTGGCTATTTGTGGTCGCATGTAGGACAGTATGTTGTCAATCAATCACCGGTCACGTCTGACCAGTAAACCACGACACGACGATACGTAACAATATGCCAGTACACACAAATATAGAGCGTGCTTCGTTGTTACTGTGCTGATTAGTTAGGCATTGAATTGTTACGAGTAAAAATCGGGCAAGCATCCACAGCGGTGTACGGTGTATTCAGACATCCGAACAGACAGGCCGTGCGTGCGTGTGTGCGATGCGTGTGTGTGGTCCTGTTGCGTGCGTGCGTGCCGGCCTGCGAGAAGCGTGTTTGCCGGGCGCAGGCAGGGTCGGAGAAGCAACCACTGCTCATGCATCCGTTAACAACGCTAGTCATTGAAGAAGCCACGCGACGGACGGGCAGCGTATTTTCCTCTCTCTGCTCAATGATGCTCATCATAGTCATTCCTCATTCGCGTCGTCTCATTATATCTTATCGTCGTCGATCCTCATATCTCATCTTCCATCTAATATAATTATCGTTGCATCAGTATTCAGTCATCGTCGTTTTCGTCGCTCATCGTCATCATCGCTTTCAACGCGGTTTTATTGTTCGCGCGCCGGACGCGGACGTGATGACGTGTTGTGCGATGGACGACTTGACATGCATGCGAATTTTGCGTATTCGCGACGCTTTGCTCGCTCGGGGCCGATCACGCGATGGGCGTTCGTTT